CCCCAAAACCCCAAAACCCCAAAACCCCAAAACCCCATGACATTGATTTTATAAAGTATAAAACAATTTAATAAAATAAGATAAAATCATAATTTCTTGTAATTCTGACATAAATCAAGTTTTCCTAATTAATTTATAATAAATATAAATCGGCAGATTTTAAAAAAAAATAATTTTATGGACAACAATAATCAATAGAAATTTTACTATGCAGGATTAGGATTGATTACATCTGCTCTTACTTACTTTACCTATTATGTATATAGAGATTATAAAAGAAAAGGTATCAAACCTATCTAAGGTCTTACTCCTGGAGAAAAGGTTAGAATAGAAGGCTATATCCGTCTCTTTAACAAATAAGGAAAACATTAAAATTACATCTATAGAAATGCTTAATAGTTTACCTACGAAGGAAATAAGAGTGATATTAAATAAAGAGAGTAGATGCAAAAGCAATCATAATAGTCATAAAATAAAAATAATTATAGCTCGAAAAATTGCCCCTTAAATGATCCAAGACTAGAGGGATTTGAACTGAAGCAAGTAAAATGAAAGGTTGAATGGGTAAGTACTACTCTTTTAGTCATATTTTAATATCGATTTGAACAAAATTAATTTTAATATTCTAATATAGTAAGATTTTTGTGTGAGAGATATGACTGGTGAGGTCTGCTTTGAAATGAATAAAAAACAACAAGTTTCGAATGTAGAAATTGATAAAAAAATCTCAACGATTGACTATCTTTTTGAAAAAGAATCTAAACCTGTAATTAAAAGCCTTTTTTACGGAAGTGCTGCTAGCAAAATTATTAAGACTTAGTAAGCAAGCATATTAAAATTATATTTTAGTGTCGAGTAAAGTTAGATTAATGTGGGTGATTTAGTTAGAGTAGAACTGACTGTACCCTTAGATTTTAATAATCAAGCATATCAAAATGTGATTGTAGGAGAATTATCACCAATCAATAATACCTACAATTTGAGCTTCAGAATATGTGAGCCTTCTATTTTTAGGAGAATATTACCAACTGTCATCATTGCTGGTATCTCTTTGATTTGTGCATATGGAATTTACAGAAATATTATCAAGATTAGAAATTGTAAAACTTATTTGAATCATATTTTTAGAGATAATTAGATACAGAGGATAGGAAGATGAAGAATGTCCTCAGGGTCAAGAACCATGTGCTCTTTGTTTGGTAAGTTTTTTATATTGAGCCAATCTGATTTTAGACCAATAAGAGGAAAATTTTTTACAATTGTGGTCATTTATGCACATGCCTAGCTTGTGATTTAAAATTAAGAGGATTTAGAGGGTAGTGTCCTATATGTAGAGAAACTATTGAATGTAGAGAGTATGTTTATGCATGAAATAAAATGCTATTCTTTCCATATTTTATTTATCCTTCTGAAAACATGAATTTGTTATTATAGATGATTTTTTACCAATATTTTGCATCAAACTTGATATTGAGGGGTTTTGGGGTTTTGGGGTTTTGGGGTTTTGGGG